GTAATTCGGAAGAAACCAGCTCGAGAGCGCTAGAATTTGAAAATACAGAACCGGAACAAATCTGCCACTTCCTTACAGAGCCCCTCCTCCAACACACACGAACGCGCACATGACCAATGAGGGCACGAGATAAGTTTGTGCACAGATGGAAGGCTGACAGGCAGGTAGGCCATCCAGTTATTTTAGTATAATTGGTCGTGCTTTTTACAGCGCCACGGCTTCCACAGATACATTTTTGTATGTATTTATTGTTAAAGCATTTAATGTATTCATTGCTATCAGGATGTTAAGAGCATTCCATGGAATATCACAAAAAGTGTTTCTGAATTACCTACCCCACCTTTAATAATGCTGTTGGGCATCAGTACTTTTAGCCGTGGGTCTTCCAGAGAAATACATAATTAAAAGCAAAGAAGACATATTTATAGGTATTGCTTTCATAGATCAGGGGTCTCCAAACTTTCTTCATCTGAGAGCTATTTTGAAAAAATGAAAGTGGCCAAGAGCTACTTGCATCACATCGCTTACATCTATTCACATAGCCCTCATCAGTTGAATTAGCTATACTTTTGTACACGTGTGAAATTGCAATACCTAAAGCTTATCAAAGATCTTAACTTCCAAGAAAACGAAAATGTCTCACTTCTAATTATGGCCCACATAGGGAATAAATCACCTTAATCACCACCTTACAAGCATCTTATGGCACATGTATAAAATAAGTGCATTCACTGTTTTACAGTTAGTGAGATGACTGGCACTGCATGGAGTCCACCATACAGTATGGTGTATACTGGAGTGTACCCACTTAGGTTCACTCTAATAGAGTCATTTAAATGTCCATCAGTCAGTCTTGTTCTGTATTTAGATTTCATGATATTCATGTCAGAAAAAGCTGCTTCACAAAGGTATGTAGAACAGAACCAAATAAAGCAGACATGTTCAGTGCTGCTTGGTGAATGTTCTTGTAATTTTCTGGGTCTACAAGGCTCCAGAAATGTTGTGATTTTTGCTGAGACTTAAAGCTGACCATGATTTTGGAGATTTATAACCTCCATCTCCATCTCCACAGGAATGTCACTGAACAGTTCAGCCATCTTTTTCTTCTTCTTCTTCTTCTTCTTCGTGTTGACATGAAATTATAAACCATAATACATCAACTGTATAGGACTCCCTATATCTGTGTGTGAAATTGTTCCATCCTCAAAAACAAAAAAACAATACTAGCTTCATCATATCTCAATCAGTGATTAAGTGAATAATAAAGTTTCTATCAGGTTACTATCAGCCTGTCACTCATTATTTTCAGGGAGGGGGCGGGGTTTGGAGGAACG